GAACATGGCGCCAGCGCTCTTTTTGGGTTGGAGGGTCGATCCGGGGTTGCGGTACCGTAATGTGGTCAAAGTCATGGACTATGAAGCCTTCCGAAAAGATGGTTCCATTTCCGTTCACGATGTTCCTGAACCAGAATTGTTCGTTGAAGACGGCCCCCCAAGCTTTCCGATTGCAGCAGCAGCAGATAGAGCATTGCATGGTGGCAAGACAGAAGGGTCTGATCCCCCACCTATGCCCCTGCGAGAGGCGCCCTTTGGTGCCCCACCGACTCCATCCGCTGTCAAACCAAAATCCGTGTACATAACTGTTGAGAGGATCATCAAGTTCAAGGAAACGCCAGGTTGCCGTGCATGCACCGGTCATTCCAAGATTCACAGTGTCGAATGCAAGAAGAGGTTCTCCGAACTTGTCTCTGCAGATCGAGCTGAAGCAGCTGCAAAAAGCGCTGCCAAAACTGAATCTAAGGAACCCATTCCCATTGTGCATACTGAAGGGGATGAGGAGCTAGCTAGAGCATTCCACGCATCCGAGCATGGAGAGGATCCTAAGCCCGCAGTTAGTGCAGAAGATGTTGCGCATGAATTTGATGCAGCCGAAGCTGGGGAGCCCGCTCCCTCAAGACCCGGTGGCTCATTTTTCGATACTGCGCCAGCGACAGCCGCTACATCGCAAGGTGAAGATTTTTGGGTGTTCAAAGAAAATGCCAACTGTTTGGTCCGATACCATATCATGCCAAGGCAAAATCTCTTTACCCCAAAAGAGGTCGAGGATTGCCCCGTTTCCCCAGAAAGATTTACTGCAGCTCGCACCACTCGTGCCGTGTTTCAGGGGGGCAAAGCAGACAACATCCATGATGGTTGGTTTGGTAGCCGACCCAATCGCTCACTTGGAGATGCATGGACCGGGTTCACAGTGTTCAAGTTAAAACCCATTCAGTCCGATTGTGTTATCACCACAGGTGCAGCCGTGATGTTAGACTCCGTACCGCCGACACCTCTCACCGATGCATCAAAGAACGGTCGTCCGAACACATTGCCAATTTTCGGCATGCCATGCAGCGCAGAGGTTGAAGCTCCACAGCGCAAGCAGTTTGAGGTTGGAAATCATCGTGCCCGCAAGAAACAGGCGCGTATTGACAAGTTGCCTGTGATGTTCGAATACGCATGTTCACCAGAGTCCAATATGGGTCGCGTGTTTGAAGGTCTTGGCATACCTCATGTTAGGCTGGCTAAAGAGTTTATCGACCTCAGCACAGATGAAGGAGAAATCCAGTTGCAGTCGCAGATTGAAGGTTGTGATAAACCCAACCTCTGGGCCGCAATCCCCTGTACATCAGGTTCAGCATGGCAACGCCTTAATAAGGCCAAGTTAGGAAGCCAGTTCAAAAAGAAACTGAAAGCAAAAAGTTAGAGAGTCGAGAGAGTTGTTCTCCAGATTCAGACGTCACGCAGAGACTGTCCTCCATCAGGGGGGTAGTGTTTCGTTTGAGTGGCCAAGGGATTGCGACAGCTGGGCTAGGGATGATGTTTCCGCATTCTTTAGAGAATATGCACACGTCTTCACCCCAGCGACCTTCCATGGTTGCGCCCTAGGCCTGAAGGACAGCAATGGCTATCCCATCAAGAAGCCATGGAAAGTCATGACCAGCAATAGCACACTCGCATCCGCACTAGGTGCATTCAAGTGTCCGCACGAAAAAGGGTATAAACATTCGCTTGCAGCAGGTAACAAGACCGCAAAGACCGCTTTCTACCCCGAAGGCATGTGTCTCACAGTTGCCCGTGCGCTGTATCCAACAGTTCAACCCGTTGTGCCTGCGATGCCTGTCCAAGTGCCATTGCCTCTCGATCACCGGGAACGTGAACAGCAGTTGAAGCACATATCCCCTCTCTCTGGTTTGGAAGATATAGGTGTTGCTGTTGAGTCAGATGAAAAGTGTCACAACATTCTTGAGCAAGTTCTTGATGTTGAAAATCTCATCGCACATTCCCTAGGACAAGTCAAAGAGAAGAAGGATCCTGAGATCACCGCAATGGTGACCAGACTCTTGTCACGTGCCGAAATGTTGGCTTCCCCGGAAGCTCTTGAAGCCGTTCGACTTGAAGCCACAGGCCTGGAGAAAGCCGGTGCCTGGGATCTAAATTCAGTCCGAGAGTACGATCAAGTCGCTGCTGAGGCGCGACGATCCAGTATAAAAGTCCATTTCGGGCAGTTGATGTCGCTAGCATCCGTCAAGTTCGCCGAACTCGCGAAACACCTTCAGAAGATGAAAGGTAGGATTGTGTATCGCGGAGACTGTGCGAAAGACGAACATGGCGCAGCAGCTGTCTACCAAGAGTTGGGAGCAAATCCCACGAGCGTACAAGGTCTTAATAACTGTCTCGCTTATGGATCCCTGCCAGGGAATTCCACCACAACAGCGGACGCTATAAAGGCTTATGTGCAAGCACTGCTGAAGTCCAAGTACCAAACTTGGATCACACTCCCGCCTGAGCTCCGGCCAAGGTGGTGGCGCGAGCGTTTCGTGAAACCTGTGGTTTTGCTCGTTAAAGCTCTTTATGGGCATCCTGACGCTGGCGGACTCTGGGAGGCACACCTCAAAGGGTTCATTAGTGAACTTGGAGGGCGTGAGGTCGCAGAGTTTCCTGGAAACTTCTGGTTCAAGGAGTCCGGGTTACTTCTCTCGACATACGTCGACGACTTGACGTTGGCCGGCCCCAGCCACCTTCATAAAGACTTCTGGGAAAAGTTAACAAGACTGGTTGATATAGAACCCCCAGAAGACATATATCGGGTGCTAGGCAGGAACCACCTTTTGATAGATGCTCCAAAGGACCCAACTGAACCCGATCTTAATGCCGCAATGGGCAGATTGAAAAGGGGCATGGCGTTCGACATGCGGGATTATGCCCGTCAGACGGTGGCATTGTATCTTGAGGTTGCACAGCTAAAAAGTGAAAAGTTGCGTGATGCCACCACTCCATTCTGTCCCGCTGGATCCCTCGATCCTGCAGATGACGCCTTGGAGGGTGAGCTCGGCTTCGCTGCTTGCCGCGTGTTGATGAAAGCCTTGTGGCTCGGCCGTTTGGCGCGCCCAGACCTGGTCAAGCCCATTGGCGACCTTGCCTCATTTGTTCAAAAATGGTCTAGAAACTGCGATAAGCAGCTACATAGGCTTGTTTGCTACATAAACAGCACGGTCAACAGCACGCTAGTAGGCACAGTCCAAGATTCGACTGAGGATTTGCATCTGTCCCTTTATGTGGACGCCGATTTCGCCGGAGAGCGAGATGCAAAATCCACGTCCGGAGGATTCTTGATTTTGAGTGGTCCGCACACGCATTTTCCGCTTGCGTGGGTATCCAAAAGGCAGACATCGGTCTCCCGGTCAACGACCGAGGCGGAGATTGTATCTCTCGCATACTCCCTTTATCAGGAGGCGCTCCCTGCGCTTAGCTTGTGGGAGCTGATCTTGGACCGACCATTCCATCTCAAGATCCACGAGGACAATCAGGCGACTATCCTCGTAGCAAGGAAAGGTTTCTCATCCAAGCTACGCTGTGTCCAGCGAACACACAAGGTGAATCTCGCGTGCATCGCAGAGCAGCTTGAAAGCGAACACATCTCGATAGAATACGTCCAAACCGACATGCAGTCAGCGGACATCTTCACGAAAGCACTTCCACCCAACAAGTGGGACCATGCCATCCGGTTGCTCGGCATTCGTGTTGACCTTCCAGAGAAGCTTGAAGACGTTCGTGAAAGTAGAGCCGCTAAAGCAGCTGCCTAGTGCGCTGCAGCATGTCCGCAAAATTTCCAAAGTGTGCAAAGTGCCTGGGTGATGCTTGAATAACTTGTGTCAGTCGTTGTGATGTAAACTTGACTTCAAGTTGGCGTGGTAATGCGCCCAAGACACTCCCTCAGTGCCGTCAATGAGGGGGGAGTCAATTATCACGATGACATTTATGGCCCAGAGGTACATGAGGTAGGTTCTCATGTAGTCAGTTGCATGTTGTACATTCAAGTGGTTGCCAAAGCATGATCCAATCACTGCTTTGGCTCAAGTGCTGAAAACAGCGCGTTGCACCGCGCTAGCCCCAAGGTTAAGGGAGAGGTCGCAGTCACGGAGGGGTTCGTTCCTTTTAAGGTCCCGGGTTCCCCCGTTGTTGACAAAACTGTGTTTCCCTCTCCTTTAAGTCAATCAAACCCAGGTAGATGAAGGTTAGTAAGGGGCAGTCCCAGCCGGAAATAGTTGCGGCCGCCTTTTGAATTCCTTACATGGTTCTGGGTTCACCTTTTTTGTACCAGGCTTTCATTGTCACTCAGTTGAATGCTGGTTGATAAACCTGGCAACTGTGAAGTGGATTTTGTCCATGAGGCCCTCAGTAAGGCGCCGGGGAGGTATTTGCCACCTAGTGACTGGCAAGAAAGGGGAACCATCAGGGGAAGAACCATCTAGCCTCTTGCGAGTTTGCTCTGAATCAGAAAAAAGGTGCAAGAAGGTGCCCTTGGATGAGTGTCGGGGATGAGTCCCGATTTTGATTGCGGTGGCGGGTTGGGCATGCAGTACGGATGCAGGTGATGCAGGGGATGCATCACGAACAAGGTTTAGAGGAGCAAGCACTTAGTTGGATGGGTCCAACCATTTCTCATGTCGTGGGTGGTCGTTCTGCTCGCATCATGGACTTTCTCCCTGGTTCCTGAAAAGGGGCTGGTTCTCCCACTCCACATGGGGCATTTGCTGATAGCAAGGGTGGGAATTCCCATCCGCAAGGCTGGCATCGGAATCACTGAGTCGATCGCGTCGCCGCTCAGCTGGGCTTTGCTTTTCACTTTCTGGCTGAACACTTCAACAACAGGGCTTCAACACTCCCCGTTCGGCGGATGTTTGCTGCAAGAACCACACATGGCAAGATTCATTCAATATTTGCAATGCGTGTTTGTTCCTTCACATGGAAGCAACGGCACGTTGATGACCCCTTGAAGAGAAGAAGTCTGGGGGGTAGATAACGAGTGCTCAGCCGCGCACCTTCCTGGAGCCATGCCGATGCCATCAGGCCACGGTTGATGGCCCACACCCAAAACAAAATCCCAGAGCTGATGCAGAGGTCACTCCGTTTCCTCTCAGACCTTCATCGTTCCAGCGGAATCCGCCAGGGAATTGATTGCCACTTTTGTTAAAGGGGAAATCCAGTAACCCGGGAGGCACCGCAAAAAGGGAGTCTTATTGGTGGCTATTGCTATTGGTGGCTCGTCTTTTTTTTGAGTCTGTGCCCATATTTTCTTGGTGGTAAAGGGAAACCACAAGGACACCACAGCGGGGGGGCGAACAAAGACCCAAATGGCACCCCTTTTGGCCGGTGTTCTCAGTGGAACAAAGGGACACCAATCATTTTAGGGGACCGAATCCTGTTTGAGAAACAAGAGACGTTTTTAGTTGGTTTAGTGGTTGGGTGTTCATTCAACCCACAAGTTAAACTTTTAGTAGGGGATCTGAGGACAGCCCTGTTCAAAGTGCTCCGAATGATTTTTGACTGGACTTGGGCTCCTTCCATTCCGCGACAGCCCAACCCCCCCCCCCTCCCCCGCAGATTGACAGAAGGATCCGTGCAAAATTGGTTCCCTTCGGTGTTCCTTGTGATTTCACTTTGGTTTCCCCTTCGAACGTACTCTGCAGAGGCCCACAAAACCAACAATATAGGAACAGAATCTCCCAGGGAAGCGCTTTTTGTCGGCCTTCAGTTGCCGGGGAGTATGCGTCGCCTTGCTCTCTTTGGTTTCCCTATGGTTTGCGAGTGATGCCCCAGCTTTCCTTCAACCTTTCCTTTCCCTGTGATCTTCTTACTTCAAGAGGCAGGGTACGTCAGGGAAGTGGGTAGCATCTCTGGTACCCAACTGAAAAGGGACTTACCAAGGCTTTTGTGGGTATTCAGGGTTTTGGGCTTTTCTGTGGCATCATCTTTGTGCCAAGTATCTTTGGCCCCCTGCACAGCCAAGTTGCGATCGCTTTTTTCAGTCACTGTTGCGATCGCTTTTGGGGGGGTTTTGGCCCACATGGAAAAAAGGCAAACGATCGCCGCTGGCGAGCCAGGCCGACAGTGTCCGACTTGTTGGGAGCGGACGCGCATGTCGGACCCAAGGAGTGCGGCGGGCAAGAAGAACCCCCCCGGCCTATCTTCAGACTGCCCCAATTGGCCCCACGCCCCCCCCCAAAAAATGGAGAAAACAGGGGGCCTGGGGGGAAGAGGGAGGAGTGTTGGGGTTATTGGGTCAAATGTTGTTATCCAACGTTTTAACACCCTTGTTTGATTTCATCCTATATTTTGTTGTAGGGTGTTAGGGGTGGATTTTCTGGGGGCCGACATTTTTTTCATTTGAAAGAGTTAGCCCTTTTAGTAGTTATTATGTTCTGGGGTGTTGGTGGTTCATTTGTTTATTCCTATTCTTGTTCAAAGTCACTTGTTGTTTCCATGTAATCTCTCACAGTATCGTTATTGGTTTCTTGACCTTTCACTCTTAGTTGGTGCTTACTTGTTTGTTGGTGTTTTTTCATTTTGTATTTTACTACCATACATTTACATAAAGGACTTTCTACTTTCAATTGGTTATAGTCTTTCTGTTTTTCATTTATGTCTTCTTTGTTCTTTTCTCTATATTCTTTTGATTTTTGCTTTATTTCGTCTTTATGCTTTTCACGATAAATCTTGTTCTTTTCCAGTATAGTGTCTTTGTTATTCTCTCTATATGTCTTTTTCTTCTCTACAATCTGCTCTTTGTTGTTTTCGTAATACTCCTTTGACTTTTGCTGTATTTGTTCTTTGTGTGCTTCTCTATACCGTCGTTTGCTCTCCAAGCATACATTACATTGTTTTCTTCCTTCGTTGAACTTTTCTAACAATTGAAAGACTTTACATTTGGAACATTGCTTTTTGTCTGTCATTGGTCTCTATATGTTTAAGGGGTTATTTATTTAGATAAGTTTAAGGGGTTTTATAGGTTAAAAGTTCAGTATAATTATAACATATAAGATTTTACATGTTATTATTATATTATGATTATAATTTCAGTTCAGGATAATAATCTAATTGGTTTGTCTTACTTCTTTCATACATCATTTTAAAAATAATATTAACATCTCTCACTGTATTCTGAACATTAAACTTTTTACTTTCAATAAATAATTTGATATTTTCTTTAACATCTTCTCCTTTCTCTTGACTATAACCCAACATCCATAATATATCATCAATCATTTCATATTTTTTCTTACTGATTTTAAGAAACTGTTTAACACAATCGTAAGGTGGTATTTTATTTACAGTTAGAAATATTAAAATCTCATCTTCTACATTTCTATTATGTATTCTTTTTATTCCCAACAGACATTTGATTAAAAATTGATTATCTCTCCAAGTTTTACAATTTTACATATGTCTTCTTCACCATCCATTGAATAATTAATAATATTATTCACTATTTCATTAGGTAAATTCAATTTATACAATTCCATATTTTCTTTTTTGAAGTGACAACAATCATAGCATTTTTTATTGATATAATTATTGATTCCATCACCGTTCATTTTTCTCTTAATATATAAGGTAATATTTCTTTAAGTAGTTTTGGCTAGGGGGTTGCTGGTCGGCTGGTCTGGGTTTCAGGTTTAATTTAAATGTCTTAACCTTCTTTTTAGATTATAAAACAATGTTTAATCATATTATAAGATAATAATATTAATAAACAAAAGTTAATTTGACCCGTATTCAATCTCACCAGCGATACAACCACTATAACAACTCATACTATACTCACAACAATAATGCTCGTATCCTTTTATTAATTGGTCTGTGTAAATTTCAATTAAGTCGCTTAATATGTTTCTCATATAATAATTGTTATTTCCATATGACCACCAATTGTTTAGGTTAGGAAAGAACAAATCACTATTTTTGATAAACTTTAATTCTTCAATTTTAAGACAATTTTTTAAAAGTACAGTAACTTCTTCTTGATTATTCTTACAATATGATTTTAATCCTTGATAATACATTTTTCTTGTTTTAAATCTTTCTTTAACCTCTTGTTTATTAAATATTCTGTCAATTCTTTTTCTGTATTGTTTGTTAACAAAAGGGATTACTGTTAGACAAGTAATATCGTTATTTAGCATTTGTTCAATAATCTTTAACTGAAGCTCTGCTTTTTCCAGACCTTCTTCAGGAATGTCTTTATTTCTCATAAAATGTTCTTCTTCATCTCTCAAATACCAACAATCAAAACATGTTGGTTTAATATAACCACCTATAAGATTACAAACATTAACAGGTAAAATATTAGCTAGTGCCACGACAGACTTACATTTTTTATTTTTACATGGACAATTATCATAATTAAACAGTGTCATTTTTTTTTCTTACTATATTATATCCATTTTTCTTTAAGTAGTTTGTATTTTATGTTAAGGGGTGGGGCTTTATATTGAAAAAATATTTTCTAACAATTTAATATAATGGCGAGATTAACAAAAGACCAAATAATCAGCAACATCTATTACGACTTAGACGAGGGTTTCGGAAGCACACAAGCGACACACAAGAAGGCAAAGGAAGAAGACCCAACAATAACATTAGACGATGTAAAGTCTTTCTTAAAGAAACAGCCAAATAAACAAATCAAAAATTATAGAGGAACTAATTCCTATACCGCTCCATTCGCACGATATGAATATCAAATAGACATAATGCATATGTCTCCTTTAGCAAAAGACAAGAACGTTCCACAGTATGCTTTAGTCGTGATTGACATCTTCAGTAAATTAGCAGATGTAATACCGATGGAGGAAAGAGACGGAGAGAACGTTTTGAAGGCGTTGAGAGCAAGCTTTAAAAAGATGGGTTATCCGATGTCCGTGTATTCTGATGACGACGGAGCGTTTGCAACTAAAAATCACGTTCAGGATTTCTTCAACAGTGAAGGAATAAACCACATCGTTACGAAGACCCACGCAAATGTGGCCGAGCGTTTTATTAGAACGATGAAAAACAAAATTCACGATAGAGTTAGGTTTAACAACATGAAATGGACCGACGCCCTAACGCCGGCATTGAAACAGTATAACAGCACATCACACTCATCAACAAGGATGACACCGTCTGAAGCACACAAGGACGACAATGAAATAAATGTAAAGGTCAATCTTAAACTACGAGAAAAAAACAAAAGAAAGTATCCCAGAATAGTGGAGAACGACAAGGTAAAAGTGTTTCAAAAGAAAAGGGGTAATTACACCGACAGAAAGGAGTATAACTCTAAATGGTCTAATAAAATATTCAATATCGATAAAATTGAATATGATATTATGGGTAATAAAACTTACAAAGTAGCAGGAATAAACAAACCGCTTTTGAGACACGAAATTTTGTTAGTTAATGATTAAACATAAAGTTTCAGTTCCTTGTCATATTCTATTTTGTCATAATCCATTGTTGATTGCTTCGGTTCTGTAATTTCTTTGTTATTAAGTTCGTTTAAATAATTTTGGTGTTTCAAAGTTTTTTCGTGTCTTGCTTTTGCCCTCCAAGACACACAACAATTACAAATCAAACATGTATGTGTGCGGTCTTTTATTTTCTCAATATATCGTTATATTATGAATAAACCCCTGTATCTTCATCATAGTCAATTTGATAAAATGCCATAGTGGAGGACTTCGGCTCTTTTATCTCTTTGTTGTTGAGTTTGTTTAAATACACTTGTTTCTTATTTTTAAATTCGCCACTGGTTCTATCTACTTCTTTACTTTGATAACTGTTTGTGAATGGTTTCTTCTTTTCCATTTCTTGTAAGATTTCCAAAATATTATTATTCTGTTCTAAAACCTTTTTTAGTTGTTTAACAATCTTATCTAATCCTTCAGCCATGTAAAATATATACTAAATTATAAAACTAAACTTTTAAAACTAAATGTTGCAATTATGTTAAATCTACTCTTTAAATACTAATTTTTCATTATTTGTTTAACAGTTTCCTGAGTTTCCCTTTCACCATTATCTGACGG